GCGCTTGTTTTTTTTTGATATGCCATAAAACCAACCCCTTTTTGGCTTTTAAGTGCTTCAGGCAACATGAGTGTATTTCTTGTTGCAAATGTGTCTGGTTTGTGTCACAATGGGAGTGTCAGCTCCAGTTTTAAGCATCACAGGAGCATCCAACAGCGGCATGAAGCCATCGTCTTTGATTTGTGCTCGCAGTCTGTCTTTCACTGTCATGGCAGCACAGTTTGAGACTCTTTCTGTAGTCGTGTGGAGTAGTAGAGTGGAGGACTTTGGATGGATTTAAGCTCCACAGGGATAAAGAAAACACATAATGTGTTTGTAATATTGGGCCATGTGTTGTGCTTTGCACAAGCAAGCTGTTTATTTAATTACGGCAGAGTTGTTTTTTGGCACTAATATTCCATGTCATTTTCTGTGTCTCACAACTATCATATCAAAGTTACACATGCACAAGAAGGTGTCGATATAAAAGAAATGTCTTTGCAAAAAGACCCTTCAGTAACATTTTAGTGAAAATATTAGGGAAAAGCTTGCGTGTAAATGAACACTTTTATAACCACTGCTTTCCAATGTGCTGCTTCTGCTTCAGGGTCAAGTCAAAATGTCTGCCATTAAAACCGGACCCTGTGCTTTAAAGTAAAATATCTTTTTCATGCACTTGAAAGCCACCGTTAACTTGCTGATGATGGTGTCTCTTTAAGCCCTTTGACCACACTAAGTCTATACGTAAAGAGTTTTACAGTCTGTTGACAGATCAGGAGCCCAAATATATAAATCTGCTGCGTTCAACAGCTAAAACACTCTTCAGCGAAACTACAAAATAGATAGTTTAACCCAACAACACTGGTATTTGTGTAAAATATCGACACTGCTTACAAAAAAAGCAATTACAAGGAAAGGGTATAAACCTGATCCCCCCCAACCTCAGTGGATGGATGGAAATTGTTAAAGACAAACCTTGAAATGGGAAAGATGACTTTCTGTAAGGCTTTGAGGAGCAACCTTTGTTAAGAAGTGGGACATATGGACCGACTTTGTTGAAGAGGAAGAGGACATAGCTTTGGACAATAATAATCATTTGTCTGGTTTTATTTCAAGCTAATTTTCCCTCAAAACATTTTTGTACTACTTTATTTGAGTTGTTTGTGCCGAAATGTACAGCACAACATATTGCTTGATATTTTAATTATATTCTTGTTGCTAATATTTGATTGTATATAACTATATTTCTACTGTTATATTGTGTTTTAGTGCAACTTTATCGACCGAATTTCCCTCCGGGATTAATAAAGTATTTCTGATTCTGATTCTGATATAATTGTGAAAATTGACTCAATATCATTTTTTTTAAAGAGTACAAGTTCAGCAAGTCAGAAAGGCAATAACAAGGCCACAAATACTACAGCAACAAACACATTTACTGTGAGTAAAAATACATGAAAATACAGGCAAACTATTCTATGAAATTTACTGAGTGTAGCGCAGAAGTAGATGAGTCCATCTAATGGACAGGTTTGTTTTTGCTTATTTCAGGAAAAGGAGACTTAAAGCGGGGTTGGGTAGTGGGCTTTTCAAACATCTCCATGACAACATCAGACATTTTCCTTTCGAAGCTGACCTGAGCATTGCAGTTTATATTTGAGCTATGTATTGATTCTGCCTCGGAGCCATACTGTAGTTTGTGTACTTCAGTCTACCCAACATCCTCTGGCTTCAACTTTTACATAACTGAACTTAACTGAACATTTCTCTGCGAGCAAACCTTTGTCTGTTCAATGAACCAGACACTGTTTCCATACTTGTGATGTATAAAATGCACTCTTGTTACTTTAATACTTTTGCTGTAATTATTTTTACAGTGCTTCTGTTTCTAATGTATTCTAATTTAGTAGAACGTTATCTCTTTTGTTGAATTATCTTCACTCCTTGTACAAAAACAGTCCAGTTGTTTTTAATTCAGGAATGTATCCTTTTTAAAAGAAGAGCCAATGAAATAAGAAGTGTGCCTTGTGTCAGGACAAACGGCTCCTTTACTTCAGCGGAGCCTCTCCTCTTGTCTTCTGTCACCTGCAGCAGCTGAAGGTCAGCAGGGAAGAGCTCTGTTATACTTCTGCTGTGTAATCAAAAGATACGTTGGTTATTTTAGACTGCAGCTCACTAGCAGGTAACAGAAGCCTCTCAGGCAGCAGCTCTGTGTGCAGCTGGGCCCCACAGGGAGGGATCATGCTGTATACAGTAGAGTGCACAACGTTCCATCCACCTGCTGTTGACCTGTGCTGCATTAGCTGTCCCGGGCCCCTTGGCTTACTGCAGAAAGACTGCTACCAGATATGGCTTTGGACGACAGCTCATTTGACTGACATTTTGAAATGTGGGGTGGGGGTGGGAGGGGGATGTTTGTGGTTTTCTGTTTCAGTCTCTGCTCACCAGCTGTTTATGGAGGAAGGGTAATTTTAAAATTCTGCAGAAGCAGGCTTCATTCTTTTCAGCAGCAGTTTTCTAAGGAAGACTGAGACGTGCTGGTGTTTCTATGTACCTATAGAAACACAACAGTCTGTTTACATTATCAGCAGATTCTATTGTTTCCTCCTAGTAAGCCGTAAGAGAAAAATACAGTACATTGTCTCTGTGAGACAAAATCATAACCCATTGGGTGGAATCTGGTCCACTCAGTAGAGAACAGAGGTTTTAATTATGACATCAGTGAGCTTGTGCTGTATTTAAAGTGAACTTTCTCCAACCAAAGTAAAGATAATTCAGATACTGTAATGTCTTTCCAAAGGTTGATTGAGATAGGCTATTTCAAGAGAGCCATAAACTAATCACAACCAGTTGACAGGATACTGCGTTGGTGTAAATGATTGTAAAGCTTTTTGTAATCCCAGAGGGAGCTATAAGAAGGATGAGAAATTACGGCAAGAGATGTCACAAGTTGAACATTTCTAAAAGGCTGGGTTCTGGAGTTACAGAAAAGAAAGGTCACAAGAAACCTGTACCCCTCTCCCCATATGTGTAAGGCTCGCATTTCAGTTACCAGCCAAGCGACTCAAACCATAGTTCTATTGTGGGAAATGCTGGAGCTGCCAGGATTAAGCAAGGAAGGAGAATGCAGGAGTGAAAAAGACAAAATCCTTGGTTCTACATCGATTTTAATATATGATCAAAAATGTCTAAGAAATCCAAAAAAGTAAGTCTGTTATTATTTATCTGCCTCAGGTGCAGGACGGGCTCTTGATTTTTCTATTGACCTTGTTAGACCACTAACTTGTTGTTTGTAGAGGTTGTTGGTGGGCACGCTGTCAACATCTCCTCGTTCATACTACTGATGGGTTTTTCAAAAGTCTGACATTTTTATTTTTTCTGCCCTAATTGAATTTGTATCAATGTTCTGCTCTCCCTAAGCCTGTCTGCCAGTGGCCGGTCCTGCTCAGACATTCAGACAGTTCATTTAACTCTGTGGCAGGTTGGCAAATGGAAGTATTTGTCTCTGAGCCAGGGCGAATTGTAAATTAGAACAATTGAAGAGGTGAGGGACATTATAGGAGTTATTAAATCATCTGTAGGCAGCAGATGGAGGGGATTAAGACCCCTTCAATAAAGTTAATTCTCTTTCAAATGGCGATCACTTCCTGTCTTCTACGATCTATTGATTTGGGGGATTTGGTGAATGGATTAGTGCAGGTCATTCTCTATGTCTTTAGAGAAGATTTAGGTCTTCATTTTACCTTGCTTAACATTAGAATACTTCTCTGTTTTACTAGTTTTATCTATGGATGTGTATAAATGATGGGTTGTAGCTACAGATACGTTTTCATGTTATGTGTGCTATATGACCAAATGAGATCGTTATATTTTATTTTGGGAGCGCATTTCTCCAAGTTATTTTAGTGATATCACCAGCACATGTTTGGGTTGGGGACCCCTTAAACCTGTGGCTGTAATCCAGCTTCCAAAACAGCCCTTCAGAAACCAATGGGTGACGTCACTTTGACTTCCTCCATGTTTTTATGCAGTCTATGGTTTTAACACACTGTCAACCTCTCTCACAACTCAATTATCAGACTCTTATGGAATATGTTTTCTGGAGTTATTTTCCATCCCACTGGCTGGTATATCCCAATGTGTTCATAAACAGATTACCACTCTGCTGCCAGCAACACCCACCAGCCGTCAAAAGGGTAGAGAAATAGAGATGAATAGCGTATGTGTGTATATCTGTGTGTGTGTGTGTGTGTGTGTGTGTGTGTGCCATATGAAATACATAGGCCCGATCAGGCTAGACTAGCGCCTCCCATGATAAGCCTCATGCCTTTCAGACTTACACAGATGATGTGACGGACTCAAAGACATTAGTTGCTGAATTTACTGAGCCTGCTTATATGTTTTTATTTTCTCCTCCGGTGCTTCCATTTAATTTGGTAGTTTTGTGCTTCCTCAGAAGCATTAGTGGCCTGTTTGAGTGTATTTTGCAGGGCAATTTTCTGTTTAAGGCTTTTGAGAGGCTGCGATTGTTTTCCTTTTTCATGCATTTCAAGATGTCTCACATGAGGTCTCATGAATAGAAGAGATTTTCAATTTTCATTTAAAATGCATGAAATAGCTTGAGAGCAAAACAGCCACCAGATATAAAATGGACTCATAGCAATAAAGGGAATTTATATGTGTGTGCAGGCATGCGATTTTAAAACCTTACTGCTTACAAGTCACAGTTGACTATTGTTAAATCGACCAGTTTCAGCTGAATGCAGGCCCATTAACTTGGATCCCATAGCTTTAATTTCACTGCTGTGCCAGGTCAATTAGACTTAGTAATTGTAATTTCACTAATTTAGAGTGTTTAATCACTGCTGTAGAAGGGGAATTTAGTTTAATTAATTTGTCGTACTGTCTTTCTCTTTTTCTCTCCCTCTCAATCCTCCCTTTTTTATTTTTATCTTCCCATCTTTTTCTTCTCTCTCTCTCTCTCTCTCTCTCTCTCTCTCTCTCTCTCTCTCTCTCCTCAGGTGTCTGGCCCAGTGATTCATTCCCAGACAGGAGAGCAGAAGAAAGGACCATGGGGATATGCCGGGGCAGGGACGTAGGCTGGTTCCTTCCACACCTGTTCTGGCTGCTGATGATTGCAGTGTCACCTACTCATAGTCAAGGATGTCCTCAGCGATGTGAGTGCATCACAAAACTCAAAACAGTGTCCTGTTATGGTAAACGCCTGTCAGCAATGCCAGACAGCATCCCGCTGGACACCAAGATCCTGGACCTGAGTGGGAACAAACTCCGCTGGGTGGAGCATGGTGACCTGCTTCCATATCAACGTCTGGAGAAGCTGGACCTAAGTGAGAACACGATCAGTGTACTGGAGCCAAATGCTTTTTCTAGTCTACAGAACTTGCAGACACTTTCACTGAGGGGTAACCAGTTGAAACTGGTCCCTATGGCGGCTTTCTCTCGACTCTCCAATCTAACTTCCTTGGACCTGAGTGGAAATAAAATTGTGATTCTCTTGGATTTTACTTTCCAAGACCTGCGAAATCTAAAAAACCTGGAAGTTGGAGACAATGATTTGGTTTATATTTCTAACAAGGCCTTTCTGGGTCTGGTGGGGCTGAGGGAGCTGACAATTGAGAGGTGCAACCTGACTTCTGTGTCAAGTCAGTCTCTGTCCTACCTGCATAACCTGGTGACTTTGCGACTCCGCTATCTCAGCATCTCCACCTTAGAGGACCAGAACTTCCGCAAGCTCGGAAACCTGAGAGGCCTGGAGATCGATCACTGGCCCTTATTGGAGTACATTTCTCCTCACAGCCTGCAGGGTCTTAACTTATCCTGGCTGTCTATCACGCACACCAACATCACCTCTGTGCCCACATCCGCCCTTCGCAGCCTGGCTCACCTCACCAGCCTCAACCTCTCCTACAACCCCATCTCTATGCTGGAGTCCTGGGCTCTGCGGGACCTTGTTAGGCTGAAGGAGCTGCATCTTGTCAACACTAACCTGGCGGTGGTGCAGCCATACGCGCTGGGCGGTCTACGTCAAATCCGCCTTCTTAACTTCTCCACTAACAGCTTGGTGACCCTGGAGGATGGAGCCTTCCAGTCTGTGAACACTCTGGAGACACTGCGTTTGGATGCCAACCCTCTGGCCTGTGACTGCCGCCTGCTGTGGATTCTTCAACGCAGGAAGACCCTGAATTTCGACGGCGCCGCCCCTGTGTGTACAATGCCCGTAGAGGTGCAAGGGAGGGCACTTAACGCTTTCTCTGACTCTGCTCTGTTCGATCACTTTACTTGTCAGAAGCCGAAAATCCGCAACAGGAAGCTGCAGCAGATAACTGCCCGTGAGGGACAGGTGGTGTCATTTATATGTAAAGCAGAAGGTGAGCCAACACCCAATATATTCTGGATTTCTCCTCAACGCCGCCGCATCACCACAAAGAGCAGCGGTCGCCTGACTGTGTTACCAGATGGAACATTGGAAATACGGTACGCACAAGTGATGGATAGTGGAACTTACATCTGCATAGCCAGCAATGCAGGTGGAAACGACACCTATTTTGCCACTCTTACAGTGAGCGGGCTGCCACTAGACGCAGCCCTTATGGCCAACCGCACTTACTATGCTGGAGACCTTAATGACACAAATCTAAATGACACCAGAGTCTTCTTGAAGTTTACTCTGGACCTTAAAACCATCCTCATATCCACAGCTATGGGCTGTATCATGTTTCTGGGGGTGGTGCTCTTCTGTTTCATCCTGCTGTTTGTGTGGAGTCGAGGGAGGGGGCAGCACAAGAACAATTTCTCTGTGGAGTATTCCTTTAGAAAGGTGGATGGACCCGCTGCCAGTGGAGGACAGGGTGGGGCACGCAAGTTCAACATGAAAATGATTTGAATATGGGAATCTGTTTCTCTTTTTAGTAGTCTTTCCCTGATGCTTTTATAAGCAGGCTCTGTGAGGACAGAATGGGAAGGGGAAGTGAAATGAACCTTTGTGCTTGCAAACTACTAAATACGGTTATTTATAGGACATTTTATTGGAGACAATGTTTTGTTTTTGAAACTATTGTATTTAAGAGAAAAAGGAAATCTGTATGGATTTAATATATTTGTATAGCTTTGTTGTGTGTTCATATTGTTGTGCAGAGGAAAGCTGGATCAAAGTTAAAGATGTCTAAATGTTGTAAGACTGTTAAAGGACCAAGAAGCAAAAGCACTCCGAGTCCCATAAGTCTTTAACCTCGACAAAGCTCTTGCCAACTCAATCCTTCCTACCAACAAGGAACTCTGTCCCCTTCATGTTTAAAGGACTTCACCTCTGCTCCATCTGAGCCGATTCAAAGTCTCTGTTTCCAACTCATGAATACATTATTATAGGTTGGTGCTCAGTGAATGCCAAGGACTTGCCAATAAGTATTTGAATAGTTCCAGCTACATACTGCGCATTAAGACTTATTTACAGTCAGGACTTTGGAGCACTCTTACGACATAAAATGGAGGCTCTGCTTTTTTTGTGTGCTGAAACTAGATTTGTACAGAATACATTCGAGACTACTCTCTGCTACACTGCCAATTTGACCGTAAAGCACCATATAATCTCAATGCAATGCCATTCTCACCTGATATTACTTAAAATAGCTGAAATCTTTTTTTAAACTAAAAATGGGACTCGACATGATTTAAATTCCCAATACACATTGTGTGTGAGCAAAACAGTACACACAGAGTCACACTTGCAATACTTGGTTTTCCCTTGTTGTTAATATAAAATACACAAAAGTCGCCCATTTGTTCTTGAAAAAAGAGGTACATAAAAGATGAATGCATGTACAGTGTTGGCTCCTTACTTAGCTCAATGTGTATAATTTGTAAACTGAACATTTATTGGGGTGTTTTCATCTCAAAGTTGAAATTGATACTATTGTATAAAAAGCAATTTCCTGTATAAGATGTACTATATATTTTGTAAATATTGACATTGAAATCCTTGTGGTTGCTCATAATACAGTTCTACTGTCATTCTAATCTTAATTTATCTGAAATTCTCCCTTTTTAAAACAGTGAAATCCAGTCCAGAGCCTCACTCTTACCTTAAAAGGTCATCAGATAGATATTGCACAGAGACCTGCCTGCTCACTCTCTGAGCTCACACTGAATCATGAAGGGCGTTTACGTCACTTCCCTATTTTTTTGACTGTGAGTGACAGTGGGGAAACTAGCTGACCAGCGGGGGAAGAGTTAAATGGCTTCTGATCCGACCTTGATGTGTTTTTCGCAGGGAGAAAATGCTAATTTGATAAAGACCTTGCAGACTGGAACAAAGGTCATGATGAAACTGAGCCAGAAGGAGTAAGGAGCTGATGTATTGTAAGAGGAGATGACACTAAAAACATCTACACCCTATAAGATAGCTGGTTCAAATTTTGTGAAGGTTGAAGTTGATTGAGTAATTTTGCTGTTTTCATTTGGATAAACGGATTATTCATGAAATGAATGAATCTGAGATGAAAATAAGCTTTTCAGCATTTTAGAGTAAGCTGGAGATGTTTCTGTACTCTATTATACGAAAAGCAAACCCATGTTTTCATTTATAGATGAAAAGAGAGTATGTTTTGCAATTTCTTTCTTCTGAATATATGAATATGAAGTGGCAGTGGCAGCACATAAAAACAAACAAGCAAATGTGCCAATTATAGGCCTTGAGCAGCATCTGTTCTAGTTAAACAAGAAGCTTGGGGTAATAATTTTGGTTTCTCTTATAACTTAGGACAACATTTGGAGTTAGATTAAGAAACGTTTAACTCCTTGTACATTTCTTACCTTACAGAGTGTCTCTTGATTGGAACATTTAAGCTTTGGAAACATATAACACCAGCTCAGAAAACCATCTCTTTCTGTCCCTCTTCATCAACAGCAATTTTAACAATGTTATACTGCTGCCCCCTGTAGGCTACAGATGGTACTGAACTCTACATTTGACAGGGGATTTGACCCCTCCAAAACCATTTTTTTTCATAGTAAGCCATTTATTCAATTTCCAACTTAGCAAATGTGTAGATATAGATGCACAAAAAGTGTATGAGTTCATTAAAAATTGTGATTGCTTATAATAAACTGCAAAGATGATACCTAACTGATCTTACATCAGTGAATCTCTATTTTAGACATGTAAACAAACAATTGATGATATTTTTTTTCATTGAACTGAACTGAATCCATCCTGTAGATATGAAAGCCATTGTGTCTGAAAATTGTACTTTTTTTTATTGTATTGTTTTATAAAAATGAAGCACACTGTTTATAGAGCATGCTGTATTATCTTCTATGATGATGTCTTTGTCTCCTGTCCCATTTTTTATAGCAGTTATCTGGTCACTTGACCTTTATGGTGGCAGTCTGAGACGATGATTGAGAGTCAACAATAAACCTGTGACCCCGTCACTGTGAAATTTTGTGTTGAAATTTTCTTTTGATGTGTTTGCCCATGTTTGTACTTTTTCATGTAATTGCTTAGAACTAAAACACAGTATAAGTTATAAAATTAAAAAGTTATAAAAATTACATTTTATGAACAGAAAAAAACTTTTTTTGGATGCATTTTTCTATCATAGTTTTTTTTAACCCTGACTTTAAAATAATGTCGCCGTAAAAGCATTATTTATGATTTTCAGATCACAGAGAGTAACAGAAGCTGTTTCCTTCAATTGATTAAAATCTCTTTTCATTTCATAATCTCTCATCTAACCTTCACCCAAACCTGTTTATTTTTTTGCTTGCTTTTACCTCACATACCGTAAGTTAAGAAAATGATGGATAGATGGACTTTGATGCTAGTTTTCAAATCTCTTTGTTGGAGTGGGAAAGTTTCTCTTTGCTATTCTGAAGTCTGACTTTTAAAAATGTAAACACAACCTTGATAATGCACACAATAAACTGGCCAAACATGTAAATTTGAAGTGTTAAGTAGAGACATCAGCAAGATTAAATTAAGCAGTTATTTATTCACAATCTGGATTTAACAATATGGACAAAATATATTAACATTTTGATTTAGGAATAAAGTTATTAAACTAGGTGGAAATTATTTTTCCAAGAAAATTATTTATATTGGTTTTTAACACAGTTAGAGGACATCCTTAAATATTGTCTCACATATATTAAAAGTGAATGGAGTTTGACATAGGTTCTGGATGTACTTAAGTCTTCATGTTTTTTTCAGTCACATAGACTTCCAAACAGCTTCAACGACAGTCGCAGAAATCAGGAGCTCTTCTTGAGGAATGGACATCGTTCTTAAAAAATATAATCCATCATTTTGGGAAGAAATTCTGTTTATGAAGGGTCAAACATTGTCTACTTATGTCAGACCTCTCCCACCTGTACAGGAATGCTTCATGAAATGATTAGATTGATTACTCAGAGTAAGTTAGTACTTTTGTTTTTTGCAGATACTCTTTCCTCTGTGGAGACAAGTGATCAAGCCAGAATATGTCAACACAGAGCATCACAAGGCCCACGCACTGCGGGGGTCAAGCAGTCACACCAGAACCAGTCAGTCTTTAACCCCCACCCACATGTCAACCATATGGTTAATGACTCATCAAACCCTCACACCTTTGTCACACCTACGTGTCTACAAACTTTGGCACATCTAATCTGTCAGATTTGCATTAGCAATGAGTCTCTCTGCTTTTAGGTATTGAAAACTTGATTAAAATATCAAGTATTGCTCAGCATTTTCATGTCAGAGAAGATTTTTGTTGCTTGACTAAGACATGCACTACACCTGTAATGAAGGTGTAGTGCATGCACCTACATTTACATTCTTTATCAGCCCCAGCATCACTCATCTTTCTCCTTCAACTTTCTATCCCTCTTTTAGCAAAAGCTTACAGCTCCTCCCTTTCATAAATCATATCAGAAATATTTTAAAAATATTTTTCAATAGGGACAAGTAAAACATTTTTAATGATATTCTTGTTGTTAATTATGTTTTTATATGAATACTTTCCTTAAAGCTCGCTTAAAGCTGATGCACTAATCTGCTCTGCTTTGCTTTACGCCTGTCGTGACTCCCTTTGATTGATCATTTTCGACTGTACTGAATAAGGGGGGGGTTGCTGTTTTCCTTATGAATTAAAGAAAACAAAAGATGCAAAATAATTTAAATGTTCAGACGGTTTCAAATAAAGTTTATAAATGTACATCTAATTAGATTGCAAAATCATTACATGTGTAAAATATAAATGTGTCTGTGTGATTTATTTTCTTCATATACAGAGTAAAATGTGAAGCTACCTTCTGCTTTGTTACCAGTTGATCTCAGCAGAGGTGGTGTGATCTGGTGGTCTGAAGTGGAATGAACATGTGTCACCACTGAAGATGTATCATCAGCCGAGTAACAGACACCTACATCAGCCTGTGAATTTACAGCTTTTAGATGGTTCTGCCCTGCGTTTACTTATTTCTTTTCATCACTTTTCATCACTTATTTCTTTTCATCACTGGCAAGTGTAGTGCCACTTTATAGGCACTACACAGCGCCTATAAAGTGCATAGCACTCTAAAGCCCTCCTCTCTATGTCTTTCATTGGCTGAGGATAGGAAATTATGTGATGTCAGAGTAACACAAAGACTACATACTTCTGCTTTACCAAAGTTATTTCCAGCTGTACTATGAGAACAAAGATGGTGTTTGAGTGATGTAACACCTTGCATGTCTCACATTCATGTATGTGTTAAAGGTGTGTGTGTGGGTAGTAACATTAATGAAACATGGTGGTCTAAATGAAATTGTAGTGGTTAACACTTTATGAACAATCCACCTACCAGCAGAGAGAACGTGTGCACCTCTCTTCAATAGTGCATGGTCTTCATGCAGATCAGCTCATACACTGCAAACAGCCTCTGCTTCTTTGTCTGTTTTTTTAAGGTAAAAATATATATCATACAAGTTTTTGTTCTGTTTCTTATCTTCTTTTGATTACACTTATTAATACATCAAAAGCTTCAATTCAGATTAGTAATTTTTATTCTAAAGAATAATGTTACGTCAACTGAAACTTGATGACAGTGGGAGCCTCACGTGTCCCTAACTCTCAAAATGACTTGAATGTTGTGTTATGCATCACACTATTTTGTGAAATTACTTAACTTCTGAGTAATTAGTTTCAGCCCAGATGGTTTAGTTGTGAAAGGCTGTGCTTTAGTTTGCTTGTTGTCTATGGGGAGCTTGTCAACAAGTTAAAGAGGTGTAATGCCAGGAATTTTTGGACCTTTTATTAGACATAATCCTATAAAATTTAAGACGTCTACCGGCAATTACAGATAGAAGTCATATTATAGATCTGCAAAAAATATATTGTTGTTTTCATTCCAAATAGAAAAAAGGGGGTCGAGAATTCTGCATTTTTTGGTTGACAATAGGCTATCACAATGTGTTGCAGCTTTTAAAACATAACATCACTTGAAATCAAGGATGAGCCAGCTGTAAAAATGCACATGCAAAAAGCCTACATCCAAGGTTAATCTTGCCTATGAAGATGGTAGTTGCTATTCTTAAACCATGAATGCACCTTGAGACACAAGTTTAAAGCCAGAGCCCAGAAAAAAAAGAGTTGAACAACAACTAGTATACAAGATGTTGAATCAACACTGAAATGTCAATCTTTATTGTAGTTCCCATACAAATACAGAAAACAACACCAACAGTTCAAGCAGATATATTTCTAAGTTGACAAGATAGGCTATTTATATTCAGCAGAGTATAGGATTATAAAATGACAGCAAACAAGTTGGTCTTCCATTAGCCTATTCACAGTTGTACAAATCAAAGAATCCTGGTTTCTATTTGCATATATTGTCTACTTGCTTCTTAGCAGTTCTGATTATGTGTGCAACAGTAACGCGGAACTAGACGGAACACAAAATAATCAAATGTTAATCTTCCAATCTGCGGTCATCGATAAGAAAGGACTGCATAAATAGCTCAACCGGTATCTGCATACAAGTATATCAAACAACGCGCTTTTAGACTCCGTCTCTTATCTTCAGCTCGACCCGTAGGCTATGTTGCTAGTCGGACTGTAAACACTGAAGAACCCAGGTAGGCTATATAAATTGAAGTCGCCCGCTTTTTCTTGCTGCTACCCGCTGGCCACACCTGGAGCCTGGAGAGGATTATTTACGGTCACTCACAAAGGTGTCACAATCATAGAAAGTCATGTGACAAAACTGCAGTTGGTGGTAATCATAAACTTTTACATCTTGGTGGTGATGAACAGATTTCTCTCTATATGCTCCCAACCAATAAACTATCCCGAAGGACTTTGCTGGTAAGTTAAACTAAAAGTTAGTTAATTTGAAAAAACAAAGCAGGAGAAAACATACAAATGCAGCTTAAGACAAACAAATAATTTGTCTCCTTCACATTTAACTTGCTAGTATTCCGCTTTGACATAATTATCCTAATGGTTAAACAATAGGGTAAAACACAAAAATAGACAACACCTTTGTTGTGATCTGGTTTGCCGCTTAACCTGCAAATCAATTAAACTAAATGTGAAAAAGTAAGTTTGAAAGTACAGAAAAACGACTTGTTTAAAAAAAAAGCTGCTTGCCATTTGTAAACAATCAGGGTTGTTGCTATGGTTATCCGCCAAGACTTTAAAGTAAATCAAATTGCATCTTTTTAAAAGACGTAAGTTAATAGTTTGTGTCACAGTGTTGTATTTTAAAATAACTTATTTTTGTTATAGTCTACGCCTATTGGCTAAAATAACCTACTGTCAGCTATCCTAGGCTATCTTGTAAAACCTTGTTTTTAAGTTCATCATATTATAGGCCTACCATAGAAAATCTCAGTTCAAGCCATATGTTTGTCTCAGCTTTAAACATTGGGTTCATATAAGTGTGTCAGCTTTGTTTTAATACTTAGCCTGGTTACTATAGTAACATATTTACTTACACGCCAAGTTATGTTCATCCATCAGCTAGGATACTTGACACACATCACACATCTTGGTCTCAGCTCGTGTTGTTGGGTTCTTGTGTTGCCTTGGTTCTTATAATGGTTCTTGTGATGGTCGGGTTATATATGTCTGGTTGTGTATCGTGCACTTTGGGTTCTTTTCTGTTGAATTGTATTTAATTATTCTTAGTATTTTGCATTTGTTATATTCTTACTGTTGTTAATGTTCTTCTGTGTTTGGTTTAGTTTGCTTTGTTCTTGCTGTTTGTCAAAGCACTTTGTAAACCTGTGTTTTTAAAAGGTGCTATATAAATAAAGTTATTATTATTATTATCTGGCTCTGTCAATGTTTTTGCTGGCTGATAGCTATCCTTAATTGAGTCGTGTTATCTTACACACTTGAACACAGTTGAACCTGTGTTTGAACTTTGATGAAGAACACAGAGAAGAGCTGAAGTAGGCGATGAATTGGGCGTCATGTGAACTTGTTCATAAATTGATTTTATTTTGAGGCTTACAGAATAATGTTATTGGTGAGATATTCATCGAAATCAAGCAAAAGTAACAGTGTAAGCAAGAGTATCTGGTATTACTTAAAGAGAAGTCACATTAATAAAGCATAATTATTTGACAGTCAGTCAGACATGTAATGTCTTGGGGAAGAGTAGTTTCTGTCTCCCCTCGATGAGGTCTTGCGAGGTGGAGCTGAGCTGTACAGGGACATCTTCTCATGGACCTGCTCCTCCTCCTCATCTGAGATACCTCTGGTAGGAACGGGCTTCAGTATGGGAGGTGCAGGATGGAATGAGTGGGTGGGCAGCAGATTGTGTGGGTGGACAAGGGGAGTGAGGAGGCCAGAGCCAACAGTACCAGATGTGTTCAAATATGGATAACTTCTCAGGGTTTGAAAGGCATACGCTGGGAAGAAAACAGGTTGGCGGCTGGGGATAACAGAGGAGTCTCTACCATCCCAGTAGTAATCCCTATGCAGGGAACGGTGGTGCATGTTAGTGGCAGTGATTGGCTGAGTGCTGCTGTGAACATTTGGATGAGGTGGGTTACTCGTGAGGCCAGTGTAGGCTGCAGGACGGACCAGACCAAAGTGAAGCTTGATAGCCAGTAATTCTGCACTAAGCCTGGTATTTTCTTCCTTCAGGGCTATGAGATGACTCTCCAGCACATAGTCATTCAACCTCCTCTTCTCTCTGGATCGTTTGGCTGCCTCGTTGTTCTTGCGGCGTTTCTCCCAGTAGAGGGCGTCCTTCCTCTCCTCAGGTATGAACTCGCGTTTGCGACGGTGTCCCTTTCGTAGCAGCTCATTTTCTGCTTCCAAGATATCTTTATCTTGGCCTTCATGCAAAGGTAACCCCAGGGACTTCATGGTTGGTTAAATAAGTAATAATCAATAGAGACCTGAAATAAAAAGGAATAGAGATATGTTTGTGTTTGAGCTTGAGTAATATAACAACCTCCTTCATAGATAATATTAACCTTGTCTGATTTGACTTAACGTAACATACTCTTAATTTAACCTGGTGGTATGATTAAAGTCTGTATAAGGGATATAAGAAAATATACCATAAATGCACTTAAGCATTGCAATACTATAGTTGATGACACTATATGGAAACAAAACAATAATATATAGATTTTTAGTTCATTGTTCACAAACAAATACCTATTTTTTTGCTCATTTTTGATTTTTTGATTGCATTGAAAAGTGAAACATAAAAGCTCTGGCAGTTTTACAAACAATTATTTTGTGTTTGAGGCCTCTCAGCCCTCAAACAACTCTTCCTGACCTCGTCTCACCTTTTACAAGTCTAGGTCACACGACAATATGATGGGAATCTTGAAACATGTTACGTGTTATCATTTTTTGTCTTTTTTTCACAGTATTAGTGAAAATATTAGTTTTTTACACAATATTTCACACAAAACCTTTAACATACATTTATCATAACACAATATGCAGAGACCACACTTTCACTGTTTTTATAAATCAATAATAGTTTGTGAAAATGGAAAAGCACGTCATGTATTGACATTGCAGATTGTATTTTGAACGAGGTTTTCTTTTCTGTGGCCAAGCGGAAAGTAGCTCTTCCAGCTTTTTGTTCAGGTGATAAATTGAGCTTTACTACCATGTTTTCAATTTTTCTCCATTACTCTTGTTCTGGTGGGAGTTTGTCTTATCTGTTGCGGAACATAAATGCAGGACTTTATAGAAGCAGACGGTGGCAGTTTTTCATACTGCCACCACAAGTCTTTTTCATTTGCGTGGGTTTGTGGGTGGTTTCATGGGAAGCTGTGCAAAAAGAACATTTGTGCTGAAACCACAGTCAGCCCCTTGTGCATACAAACATACACAGAAGCACACATTAAGCTAACACTAACACATTTTATCTCATTGATGCTTTCATCACACCTTATTCTTGCAAACAACACTCTAGTTCATGTGACATGTTACACGTGTGATGTGACACAAACCAGCTGTCACTCAGGATGTCATACAAGAGGAACTCTTTAAAGCACACGCCATAACTTCACTGTCTTTAACCTCAGAAGTGATAATGCAGTGTCCCGTTTAGTTGTTAGTTCTCGTTTTCATTTCTGTTATCCTCACCTAGTGCAACATCTCATATTCACATGGCTTTATTTTTGACGTGCCAGTCAGACTGACTCAGAAGCATCAAAAGAGAAGCTTTAAAGAGGCCGTGCACCCTAAATGGTGGTGAGAAAAACAAAAGGTTAAAAATATTCAAGCTGGTTGCCCAGTGAGTATGTAGACCCACACCCTGTTGGTGTGCGTGTGTTTGTGTGTCTAAACATGAACACCTGCATAGTTGTGTGTGTGTCTGTGTGTCTGTGTGAGACAGAAAGACGAGGCGTTTTATACTCTGAGCTGCAGCAAGCATCAAAAAAAAAAGAAGCAGCAGGAAGAAAGAAAACAATAATCACTGAGGGAGACAAAGAGCGAAAATAAAAAGAGAGGGTTCCTGAGTGAAATCTCTAGAGGCCTGCTCACTATACCATGCTGCACATTTGCACCTGTTTCTTATTGACTATTTATATCCAGGCTGCTTTTTAGTAAGGAACTCTCAAACGTCTTCTTTTTCTCTCTATCCGTTTTCTCATACTCTACCAACTGCTGTTGTTAAAATTACTATCCATTGGAAGAGGAGTTGGTCAGTCCTTGTTTTGTGGCTTTTCACCCCGTTGTACATTAGTAGTGTTTCCTGTTAACTGCCAATTTGGAAAAAAGAGTGGATAAATTCTGTGTTTGGGTTTTAAAGAACTCAGTTTTTTGTTTGAATTGTCCGTTAGCAAATGAATGCCTTGAATCGCACTATTGAGTGCTATTAGTATATATTTAAAATGTAACGCATCATAAAAAGACAACATTGTTTTTCTACATGGAACCCAATCTGCATCAGGGTTTTAAAGTTGTAATAAAATGAAGATGACAATTTTCTCACAGTCTGCACAGAATGTAAAGCTATCAGTGATATCTTGATATGATGGATTTAAGGACAGTACCTTTTATTTAAGTCCTTCTCTGTCTTTATTTCACCATATAGGAAATATATAACAATGACACGTTGTCGTAAAAGTTTAATTATGTTCAGATTTTTGTTCTCTGTGTGGAACGGGATGCTGGATGTTCTGTCTTACATTTAACTAGTACAGCCGTACTAGTGCACTGCATTGACAGTTACATACATTAAATCACCTTCTTTATTCCTTCATATACCAAATGATCTGAAGGTGTCGACGGTAGTATCTGTCGATAGATAGTTCAGAGGCTACATGATATGCCTAATTTTTTTGGGTGATTTATATATTATGGGAAACTCTGGTCCAGAGAGGTCAACTAAAACACCTGCATGATGACTTAAAACATCTGCCCTCCAAAACCGACTTTTGATGCTATTTTTTTTTTGTTGAGAATGAAAATTTTGCTTTATTGGCTCAACTTTATGGTCTCGTGATGGCCGTTAATATACCTAACTATTTATAAAAAAAATGTAGTAATATTTCTTTCCTCTCATTTAGAAGTGCAATCTAACAAGACTACAGGCTAAATCTACATGGAGTGGTGTGAACAACAACTCAACAGTTTTAGTTTGATTAAAGGATTTCATGAAGAATTTGATGGGCAGATTTTCATGAGACTTTGTGGAGGTCAATGAACTGATGACTTTTTGGAGAGGATTAGGATCCAGCGTACAAACAAGTGATATGAGCAAATCTAATTTAGGAGGAAGCAAGACTATTGTCTTAGTGAAAACCAGCGTTCTTTCAGGGCCATATGTAGGGTTCCAAGGACTAAGACAATCTGAGAACATTATATCACACTGTATGTAACACTTCTAATAGATTTCACAAACCTTTATCAACGTCTATGAACTGTCACTCCTCCCTCACCAGAAACAAAATAATAAGGATTGTTTTTTTTTGTTTTTTCAAAACTATTCATGCATCTTATACAAAAAGGGTGAACGATAAACTAATATTTGACACTATTCTGATTACTTAGATATTTAGTATTTTTAGTGAATTCCAGCTTTGGCTAAAACATCCACATTACTTAAACAAAAAAAATAGTGAAAAATAGAAACACACCCTTTATAAAATACCTCCAAAATGATCTTGGAGAGATTAACAAGGTAGCAACACTTCCTCTTCCTCAAACCAATCTTGAAAAATATGAGGGCAACATTTTCAAGTTCTGTATTCAGAGTAAATGATTTTATTTTGATAATATAAAAGACTACATGAACAAATTAGAAATGTGAACCATTCCCCTGCTTGTTGGTAAGATATGACAGAGATAAAAATAAAAAAATACAACATTTTCTGATCTGTCTTCAGACTTTACAGTCAACATGGTGTTGGTGTCATGAGCAAAAAGTCACGGTTTGAAATGAGTTTTGTTTGTTACTCTCTCTCCTTTGGTAGCTATCATCGTTACATCCCCTGAATCCAGACATCATTACAAACATGTTCCAAACCTCTTTGAGTGAAAAATTATCTTGGGGCCTTACCTTCAAAAGCTGGGTGCAGAAAGTCCACTGCCTACGACCTTATTCGCAGAAAGCTCGCCCTCACACTGCACTAATGACCAACTTTGAGCCGCTGACTCTCCTCCGAGACTGCCTCATGAGATTGATACACACTTTAGCAGAGGGGGGCTGATAATGTCTTGTTGCTTTTTGTATCCTCTCACCTCCCTCCTACTTTAAGTGTGTTTGTCTGTCCACCTCTGCTGTCACATGAAACGTGCCTGCTGTTCAGAATTGTATGATATTTGTGGTTAACTGCTGTCATTTTCAAATTACCATATTTGTTGTTCCGTCAGATCAAATAGCAGGGGGATATGCATTTATGACAAGTATACAGTAATATTACATGATTGCGTTATTCTGGCACAGGCCATTTGGTTTCTGTTTGCGGTGTGTTGCTGATTGTTACCTGTTCTGTAGCTGCATTAAGTTGTCTTATGTGGTATTCAATTACATACTTCTGCACACAGGCAATGGTGTTAGAAGTACTAATGGTAGAAGTCGTCAGGCAAAAATAAAACACACCAAAAATATACTACATTATGTGTCTCTCACATATTCAAAGAAGACTGGACTGACTTGAAGTTCTCTATTTTAAGTGTTAAAAGATTTTTTGCACCACAGATTGACACTTAATCAGCTTGAAGGTGCAAGTTTTGACTCTGGGTCTGCACATGTAATGTCCTCTTACTGATCGGATTTCTGACAAACACTCTGTCAACTTTGAAACACACTTTTTGTGCAGTAACATCATCCTCATGTCATATTGCAAAGTTCCTGAGGTATAGCAAACAAACATTAAATTTATGTTTTTTTTTGTCTGTAAATTTGTTCAAGGTATGATATGTACAAATAATGGGCACAATGTAACTTTTTTTAAGCATTATTTTGAAAACTTCAGTACCATCCATGGTACTTCCATGTTGTTTCCTTTAGAAATGTTTAGAGTATATTTGTCGTATTAAAGAACCAAAATGTATTCCTTCCAACTTTCTGTTTTTGTTTCCATAACATTTAGTATTGTTTTGCATAAAGAGGAATTAGAATGTATCCAATGGTATTTTAATAGCTGATATGAAGGCATTACAAAGACATTATCGAGGCATAAAGTTGTGCAGCATTCTGACAGGGAAAACTGTAGCAGGGCCATGTTGTAGCTCCCTCTGCTGGTGGACTCGAAACACCAGCTGGTAGACTGAGGGGCAAGTTGTCATAGAAAAGCCGTTTGAGCTGTTCAACGTTTGTCATATTTAAGCTTATTTGATGATGCAGGTGCAAGTGAAGAGACTTAAAAGATCTGAACTGCTGTCAAACTATCAAATGGGTTAGTTAAATGGACTGAGGATTATTTATTCGGGACCATCATTGCGAATTCCAAACACATCATATTGCAACACTGCTGCAGAGTTGATAGAGACAGCTGCAGTGCAAGTGTTGTCACAGAGCCGCAGGCCGACGAATCAACGTCTTTTCTTTTAATCAAAGTGTGCGAGGGGAACACCAACCCAACAAACAACCAGTTTCACAAACCTAGTAACTGATGTTGTTCCACCGCAAAAAAAATGTTGACGTTTCTTTCCCAGCAATCAATCTGAACTCCAATACAAACAAATCTTCTGATTCATTTATGTTTCATATATTGGTGAATTTATTTTTGCATTGAGATTTAAAATTCCGTTCAAATCAATTAAGCCTGGGAAATGGATGTATTATTATTCCCGTCAGTGTGTAAAATCACTCATCAAGTTTCAGCCGCTGTTTCATTCTGAATAACACTTCAAGAGAAATCTAACTCCTCAATATGAGCTGTATTCATTGTTCTCTGTTCTGCCAGTGTAAACTGTAGCAAATAGAGAGAGAGACGTTGTCAAATATAATGTCCTCATTTACTTCTTTTTTATTAAGGTCAGATAACAAATTAGAGGGCATATTGCATCCAGGCAAATTTTAAAACCTAGTTTGCTCACTTGTTACTTTTTACAACACAAAAAATGATTATTATTTTTCACTCTGCTTGGAAAAAACGCCGTGATAGTTGGAGTCCATTAGGATTGGGGTGCATCTCGAGCTGATTCCGACTTTTCTTCAGCTCTGCCAAACCCGCTCTTGAACCCCCTCCGAAGATCATCCTCCACACCGAGACCATGGCCTCGTCTCGCCTGTATGTAAAGAGGAGGTAGGCCTGGCAAGACAGCCGGTGGGGGCAGGTAGGAAGACGGCCAATGCAGCAGAACATTATTACGCAGTGCCGGGTGATTCACGCAGGGCACCAGCCAGGTTTGAGACGGGTTCGGCAGATTGGAAGCCAGAGGGAAGGAGCCAAGGGACGCTTGGATGGAGGACGCCTGATAGGTGGGTCTAGGGAAGTCATCGCTGGAGGACACCTGTCGCTGAGGGTCCGACTCTGTCTCCGCTGATCTCCCAACCTCCAAATGTGCTGTGGGAGAAGGGAAACACGGCCCGGAGAAGGGGGGGATGCCTTGCTGTGCGCCACAAGTTTGAAAAACCTGTGTATTGTAACTTAAACAGGGGATCTTGGCATCAAATGGATTCATCGCTGCTTCTTGTTGCCTTACACCCATCACAGAGACTTGGTTGCTCCTGCTATTGTCCCAGAGTCCTCTCTGGAGAAGGGCAGGGACAAAAGAAGGTTTGGGGTGTAAGGGCACTGTAGAATCTGATGTTGCCCTAGCAGCGTGGTGGTTACTTTCCTCCGCGTTCAGGCTGCTGTAATACTGCATGCTTAGCACCTCAGCGCGCAGCTGTGCGTTCTCGTCCTTCAGAGCCAGCAGCTGACCCTCCAGCACCAGGTCATTCAGCCGCTTCTTCTCCCTGGACCGCTTCGCTGCCTCGTTGTTCTTTTGACGCTTGTCCCAGTACGTGGTGTCTTTCTTGTCGGCGGGAATCATCTCTCTCTTGCGGCGCGTAACAGGGCTGCTGCAGACACCAAAGCGCAGGAGACGTCGGGTGAACGGGAAGAGGAGGTCAGGGTCCGGATCATGCTCTGTTAAACCGCTGCTGTCAACTGTTGAGGAGGGAAGGCACGGAGGACCATGCCCAGGACGGTCTGGGCTCCTCGAGGTGGACATCTGCACGGAGGACACAAAAGATTAATTCAGAAAATCGATTGACAAACAATTGATTAACCATAGGATACACATTTTAGTTTTGACTAGCACTTTAGCCATACCAAATATGACCAGCTTTTGCAATTAAAGGCATATCCTGTACAATTAACCTTCTAAATGCTACACATTTACACCCTGACCGTGCTTTGAATAAAAAGTTACATGTCAATTCATCATTCATAATAATTCACGAATAAAACTATACCCTATATATTAGACGTTCAAAATAAGTACTTTCAACACGAATGTATAGGTTTTGCACAATATTTAAAGTGCATGTTACTCAGGTTAAATGTTTTACTAAGTGACAACAATGGTCAAATGTAGCGCGGCGTTGTGCACCCTGACCTCAGGAATATGAATGATCAATAAAGAAGTCGACAATAAATGAAACGTAGAAAAGACGTGATTAAAATCAACACAAGAAAATGCGTACATTAAATCAAATTGATTTATGTTATTTTCTAAATCTAATGATAAGAACTTGTAACAGTTATACACTTTACGCACTGACCTGGATAAAAAAAAAAAAAGATGTCACCTTTGGGAGTATTTGGTAGACCAAATCAACTTTAGAAGAAGTTGATTTCATATGGCAACAGGCTCAATAGCATCGTCTTTTGACACTTAAATGGTTAATATTCATGAGATTGTTTATGTCAGGACCGCGCTTACCTGTCAACCAGTCTGCGGTGCTTAAGAGAGCATGAGCTGCGGGACGGCGCACAGAACCTCTTCATACTTTCAGCCAATCGCGTGGTGTCCTCGTGCTGTTATCACAAACAGGTGATACTGAAATGAGTCACATTTGATCTGCTGCTCTACTCATTGTTCATGATAGTCTGCTGCTTCTCGATTAATATGATCGTGGACATATTGCCTTCAGAGCAATGCACGGACAAGACGTGAATCATCATTTAATGGTAAAGATAAATTAAACAAGTAAATATAATTATTTTTAAAGATGGGATGAATCAGAGCAATTCATACATAAAATACATATACGTTTAATACATATTGCACTTTAATATGCATTCAAATGATGCTTCTTTTTTTATGTCCTTTAGCCTGTTAACTCCATAAATCATTCATGTTATCTACCAAATTTCTCGCAGTAATATGGGAGCCCTTGGTTTCACATCAAAATGAATGTCCATAGCATGTGAAAATTATTTTCATTGGATCTGCTGTGGTGCTGCTACTTGTATATTTTGCAGCTACCTCTTTTTTTGGGGCACAGAATGATGTTTCATGACGAATTCAAACTCTGATTTTATTAATCAGCCTTATCATGCAAATATTGTGTACATGATGCTAATTTTATTTGTTGTCAACTGTCATGCTCATTCATGCTATTTTGTATCAACTATATCAGACAGACTCATTAGTGTGAATTGTTGGCTAAAAACAATGCAAAGTGTCTACAGATCAATGGACTTGGGTTTATGTCAACATTAACACTAATATGTTACTATCAGCCACACTTTGACATTAATGCTAACATGTTGTAGTAAATGTTAAGAGTTAAATATGCTTATTTTACTATGCTAACATGTGGTAAAGGTGAATGTTACCATGCATTTAGTCAGCATGATAACGTGGTAAACATGCATTCAAGGTGTAACATATTGCATCGTTTTGTCCTCTGGTTGAGAGAATTTCTATTTTTCAACTGTCCAACAAGTTAATCATGTTTTATGAAAATAAGATTAGATAAGTACTCCTGTTTAGATTTGACTGAAACTGTATCTATAAATAGTCATATATGCTGGCCCTTTAATTTCTGTCAGCTATTTCATCCAACCTTGGATGTCATATCAGCTTCTTGGATCATCATCTGAGTTTGATCTTTATCATATTTGTTAGATATTCTTGTAATATTTCAATGAAATAAAAGACTTTCATTGAAATGATTTCACTGAGTTTTGCAGTTAAGATCCCAGGATACCTCTTCCATTGTGGCTTCTTGTAACATCAAGCACGGTCGTTTTGAATTAAGACGGAGTACACACAACTGTTTGAAAAAAGCACAACAGCACTGAACAATGCTGCCAGAATGAGAAACCACATACATTGTATATCACTGTTCTGCAGATTTCATTGTGGTGTACTGCATTAGGGGGATGTCCAGATGAGGAGGGGGATGTCCTCTGAGCCATCAGGTCTGTTTCTAACTAACTCCCAACAGATTTCTCTTTCTGACTCACAGTAAACATAGAGCCCACAGTCAACCATGTCTTTGCAGAGAGTTTAGTCTTTCAGAACAAATACATAGTCACATTTTTAAATCCAAGCCGTAGTTAGGAATCACTTTGTAATTATTCCAGCAGCTTAATAAAATGGCTTTGTTGCGAGTTAAATACAATTATGGTCACATCAGCACACGCACATTCAGACAATACTGGATGAGCATGGACTTGGTACACAATGTAGCTGTAACATGAAGTATGTATTAATGAATGCTATGCCTCAAGCTTAATTGCCAAATGTCATAGATAATGGTTAATTAATGAAGTCTGGACATAAATATGGTCAAGTGTCAAGCCCTGATTGGTTATACTGAAAAGTCCCGCCTGAAGCTCTCTTTAAGGATGGCTCATATTTACTGTTCACATAAACAAGCTCAGAGAGCATTGTGGTAGGTCATGGTTGGCCTGCATAGTTGTTCCTTTTGCGCTCTCATTTTGTGTTACCTACCACATCCTGAGTATTGGGGAAAATTTCCCAATTATAAGAAGTACAAGTGTTGGTTTTGTAACTGTTATGAATTTGGTCAAAGTATTTTGCCTGTGAGGGAGTCTAACAGCTGCCTACAGTCTGACTAGTAACATTTATATTTCTCTGTGTTATCCAATCTACAGCTTGATGCTTGTAACTTACCATGCAGGGGATCTTTCTTATTCAAATCTAAACACGATTTGGACTACCTTAAATGTTGAGTTTTGTGGACTGGACAACATTCCTACTCCATAACACCTTTCTTAAACTCTTTACTAAACCTTCTAGTGATTTAGAACATACAATATATAGCCCAGAGATCAGAAACAGGTTGAAAAATACAGGAATTCATTTTTAAGGGATTAGTCTCATATCATCCCCTTATAGTCACTTTTACTCTGCATCCTCAAAGTGCTCTAGAGTAGGGAGAGGGACGGTGTATGTGGAGTCAACTCAACGATTCACTTAATTGCGGATCTTTGTTGCTATGAATGAACATCATTTATTTGATTCACATTGCTGGCATGAATGAAAAAGCTTTTGCATGCATTTAAAACAGTAGTTTATAGGGTGGTGATGGTATTAGTATTCATCCCGAACTGACATACATCAAACGTTACGGTTTGGTGCATGTTTCTGTAGCATGATGTTCTCCCTTTTGGAGCAACAAACCAACAGAAAGAAGCTGAAATCCCCCATTAAAATGCTGAGAGCAGTCATGAAAAATAGAGCTCGCCTTACGCTGCAGCTGTAAAGAATAAAGTTCTGACCGGATCTAAATATCTGCTGTCTATGAACATGTTGCAGCAGTATGCAGAGGAGTAAGAAGCTCGATGTGGGAAAAATGATTTTGATGACGAAGAATGTGAATAAACTTGAAGCAACTTGTATACACTGCAAGGGGAAACACTTCACAGGTGCTGCACAGTGTCCAAAGAGAGGTTAAGTAAAATCAGTGCTGAGAAGGGTGTTCTGAAGCTGTGAAAAGAATGAAGGAAACTGAGGTAATGGTGATGGTGCAAAAGGAAGAGGAATAGGGGAAGAATAGGAATGATCAAAACATCTGTGTGTACAAAAAGTGTTTTCTGGCATTCATTGCCATGGTGATCAACTGTGCTGTGGACATAAAAGGAAGTCAGAAGGAATTAAAATGGTTTTGGAAGCTGCTGGAAGGTTTTGAACGTTTGTCACATCACTGGAGAGGAATAGGAAACCACTTTTAGAGAAGGACATGCTCAGACAATCATGTCAGAGTAATAGAATGGACAATTTAATTGAGAGGGATGACTTCGGGTGGACCACCTACGTAAATATATGTCAGTGTAACTATTACAATTAATTGTAAAAAAGAAACCCTGTAGATTACATCAAGATGTATTTTTCAATACAGGTATCCGGTAAATATAGCAAGAATTGATATTGAAAGACACATCATGCAATGATCCCCCTGTGGTTGAGGTGAAAGTAGACTCAGTATTTGGGGTTAGTTTAACCAGTTCGTTCCAGTAAACTTTGATGTTGTGACTCCATGTGCCTCACTCACAAACACACACTCCCTCTACTTTCATAAAGCTGCAGCATATTCTAAATGTTCACTTAAATGGAAATGCTGCTGCTTTGCTTTAGCTTCATGTTAACCTATTTCCCATCTCTTTGTCATATCAAGTCCTCTTGTAACTTTTATAAAGAGGCCAATTGTGTTTTTAAGGGTGTCTGCTGGCCTGATTCCTCCTCTTTAACTAACCGCTCTTCACCACTTTATACAGGAAGTTGAGGTTCAGCAAGCATGGAGGTTGTTACCTCTTTATAGTTAGATGCAGTGTGACTTTTTTTTTATGCTGCCACATTAAAATCTTCAAAGTGGAATATGGGTCTCTGAGAAGCAAGAGCATTGAAAAGCTTCCCGCTGCAAAGGGCTTTCTCACACTCACTGCACTGAAGTTGATCTGGTCATAGCAGGTCTGGTCATAACAGGTCATCAATTGTGTTTTCTAATTAAAAGTGTAGGATTTATTGAAAATGATAATTGCCATGCAATTTGGAAATTCATGTCCTGAAAATGATATGTTGATGTACTCATTAATGCAGCTAGAGAATAATCACCAAATTCAGCCAAAGATTAATGCAGCCTGTTATTGCCCAATAACGGGCTGCATTGCATTTCTGACATACAGCTTTGTTCAAGTATCCATTTTTTCCATTGTGTTTAGTATGCAATAGATTTAGCTTGGTCCAATATACTGTATACTTATCCAAAATACCAGCTCTTCCTACAGAATCAGGTCTCATTTAACAATGTTTGAACCAGGTTTTTTTCTTTATTCTGATCAACCTTTTCCTGCACCACTACGTATGAGTCATATCCAATGAGCCGCACAAAGTGAGCATGAACTAATGTGTTGCTTACTGTAACCAATATACAGTATATATCAGCGTTCAAGGCTAATGTTATGAATAATGAGTATGTCACAATTTTATGCATTCTATAAAATGTTACTCAATTTTCATCAAAGGAATATTTTTTGTTACTTTACAAGAGCGTATTGTTTTTTTAAAACCATTTCAGGTTTAGTAGACTTTTCAGATTTTTCTTCTTTTTTTTTTTTATTAATTATTCAGCAGGAAGTTAATGTTATCATCTCATGCTCATGGGTTTCTCCTTTGCTACTAAATCTGTGTTATGAACACAAATGTCAACTAGATGTGGCCTGGACTTATTTGGAAAAGTCTTTGTCAATTGATACGATCTTAGAATTGAAACACTAATTCAATAACACATGTTTACAGCTGTTTGAAGTGGTTGGTTCCTGTAGGCAGCTGGCTTAAGAACTCAAAACCTTATCAGCCCTCCATGACCTGTGAAAGTTCGATTGACTCATATTCCAACCAAAACTAGTTATTGGCAGCAAACACTACATACATGGTAACAGGAGTTTATTATTTATATAAATATAAAACATATGTATATGCGATTTTTGTTCCTTTAAGCACACCGTTGAAAAGCCTCCCCGGGCCTCCATGTAGTCACGGTGATGTAAAAGAACTGCTTCAAAACCATCTTACATCTTATGACATTAAAATTTTTACTTTTTTACCGTTCCTATGAGCTTGTT